TTACACAGCGTTACTGGCACCCCCCTTTCGGTAGCTGATAATAAAGAAGTGCTGATTCTCCCGCGTTCGGCCGCGCACTGGGACTACGGAGATGTGCGTCCGCGGACTCAGAATGGAGGAGCCGGCGTCCTCTAGGAGCCGTTCATTATCTTAATTTCCATATCTGTCCGTCACCGAGGCACCGCTAAATGAGCATTATCTCACATTGCACAATGCTACGGGACTTAACATGGGGGAAGATTCACATCTCCACTCGATGGGGTCACGAGCAAGTGGACGTGCGGCCTCGGGGTGTCTGACCAGGCAGGAGTGCAATTTGCATTTAAGGCTTTTGCTTCTGCGGATCTTCACCAAAGCAAGCCGATCCGCAGCACAGCATCAGACACATTCTAACGGGGTCGAGGGTGGGGGTCAGGAAGGGTTGTCGTTCGGCCTGTATATATTTACACTGCGGAAGAAGAGGAGGGGAGGGGTGACACGGAGAACACTAAAGCGATGTGGAGGGCAACTAGACAGAGCACGTTGAACATGGGGGGCGAGGGGGGTAAAAAGGTTTGGGCGGTGAAGGGGTCCACATGCGAAACCTTGGTATAAACCCCCAAAGTTACATAAAGGGGGAGTTAAGAGTGACGCCGTCACCACCCACCCTTTTTTTTTTTTTAAATACATTTTGACATCATTCATAGCAGCTTCACTGCTACACGGTTAAAATCCAAAAGCCATACGTGTGTGTGTGTGTGTGTGTGTGTGTGTGTGTGTGATCAGAGGGCGACACTCCACATGGCGACCAATTGAACAACTTTCAAAAGGTACAATGACCGTCTTTAACACGTTATTACTATAATTCTATGAATATCAACCGTGATATTGATATTTGATATATCATTTCCATAAGGCAAACATTGTAGGTCAGTCATTAGTCTATGTATAATACATATATGATCGTCCAGTTGTTAGACTATCTACTTTCTCATTGATCACCGACACAATAATTGTTAATATACACTCTCCATCAACATCAGCTCGGTGCAATCTAACGCATTAGCAACACCAAACACACAAAAAATATTCTGGGATGTTTACTTTTGGTCCAGGTCATCATGCTGCACGCTAGCATGCTAACTAGCAAACTACCTGCGCTAACGCTAACTAGCTTAACAAAAAGGACCGTCTTTCCTGTATCGAGTCGGCAGCACAAGTAAAACAACCGCTTATAGTTCCAGGTGTGTTTCATTCAAACAAACACGTACTTAGAGTATTGGAGCCGGTAGTCGTGGTTCTATCAGCCCGTTCATGTCGCTCTGCTGCCGTAACTTCGCCTCGTGCTGCGTCCGCTCGGAGCTCTGCAGGTGTCTAAGAACTCGCGCATGCGCGTTACAGATGTGAGCGGAGTTACGTGATTACAAGTAATGTTTGAACCTGCCCGCATTATTATGTCTTAAACGCATCGTATTAACAGCACGCAGTTCGTAGTTTCATATTTATGAAGTTTTAAGTGAAATATTAAATACGTTGAAATCACGTATTCGCGTAGACCAAATTTCGCCGACCAGTTCATTAATTATTCTGAAAATCTTAACGTTAATATCGTCTCTCTTTCAACCTTACGTTACAACATGACACATTTATCAACAAATTGACGTTTTCTAGCACGTTGATGTTTCATCCCATTTTTAGCCGGTTGAAAAGACGTTGAAATGAGGTCTTAGACGTTCAGTCCTCATTTCAACCGGATTTCAACCATGTTTCAACGTTGAAATTACGTCTTGTGCTCACTGGGGTGGGAAAAGAAAAGAGAAAAAAGTTCTGCTAGTTCATATTTTGGACTTTTCTCTAATCTTTGATTCATTATGAAGTAGTGTAATTATTAAATGAAGCCATGTGAGAAGTTCAGAGGGGAAATGTTGATGAATCTGCTGACATTCAGAAACATCTGAAAAATGACGAGTAGCCAGAAACAAACACATTATTTAACAAACAAAGAAAAACAATTCATAATCCAACATCTGATCTTTGAGTAAAAATACAATATTTTGCTCTCAAATGTAGAAGAGTACTTTTATCACAGACCAGGGTCTCAAACTCGATTCAGATGCAGCCCACCTCGACCGACGCGGCCCAGACCATTACGGTCAACGGGGTGGTGCCTTCAATTTAACAAACTGTGTGTGTGTGTGTGTGTGTGTGTGTGTGTCGTTCGTTTTCGCCGCTGGACACAGAAGTCGCCTTTGCTCAAGATGCCACTTTATTGATCATTGACACAAATACTGGTACCGTCACTGCAGTTTAGCCTAAATAAGTCCACTGCATTGTGAGTGTCAAGTGCGCTGTTTTAAGCGTCGTTTCATGTGAGTTCCGGGACCCCCCCTCCACGCCCCCCATGTCACTCACATGCATGTCGGATTCACTGGACAGACACACTGTAGGAAACCAGAACATCAAAACAATACAAACACATTATTTAATAAACAATTCATAATCCAACATCTGATCTTGGAGTAAAAGTTTAAAAAAATTCTCTCAAATGTAGAAGAGTACTTTCATCACTGACTGTAGACTCAAGTCTTGTTGCTCTTTTTTCAGTGTACAATCTGTATTTGATTTGAAACCACAGATTCTCCTCCAAAGCCCAGGATTGAGATCTCAGGTGATGTGAAGGAGAAGGAGTCTGTCTCTATAAGCTGCTCAGCTTCCACTCCCTGTCCACACTCTCCTCCTCAACTCACCTGGAACCTCCAACCAGACTCTCACCACATGATGGAGGAAAACACAGATCGAACCTTCACAACTAGAATCCAGAAGAGCATCACTCTGTCACATGAACATGATGGATTCATCATCAGCTGTTCTGCCAGATATCCTGTGAATGAAGGAAAAGATGTAAAGACGTCAGAGGAGAGAAAGACTCTCAGTGTTTCATGTGAGTGTTTGTTCTTTGATCCTGTCAGCATACGATGATTCATGTGTTCACACGATGTCAGCTGCATGAAGTTTTTATGTCACATTTTCCTCAGATGCTCCCAAGAACACCTCGGTGTCCATCAGTCCATCAGGTTGGGTGTCAGCAGGTAGCCGGGTGAACCTGACCTGCTCCAGCAGAGCCAAACCTCCTGTGAGCCGCTTCACCTGGTTCAAGACCAGCAGAGATGCACCAATCAAAGTATCTGAAGGAGACTTTTACAGCTTCAATGTGACTGATGGAGGAGTTTATTACTGTGTGGCCACCAATCAGCTTGGTGATCAAACATCCTCAGAGATCCATCTGACTATAGAAGGTGACTAATAAAGGTACTTCAGTAATCAATATTGTTACATTCCCATAGTGTCTTCATTTAGTCACTGTTGTTTTTTTCATCTTGTCTTGAGGTGGAGTTGATCATCTTCCATTGGGTGCAGTTCTTGGAGGAATCATTGGGATCATCGTGCTCATCGGCCTGGTTGTCTTCGTTTGGTCAGTAGCATCATTAAAAAATGTGTCTCCAAATGTGGTCTTTTTTTGGTATTCTGTGTATTAAACCGAACATTTTGTCTTGCAGGCGTTTGAAGTCTCCACATCCAACTGCACATCAGAGTCAGGTGAGAACACACCAAACAACTCGGTGTGGTTTTGTTATTTGGAAGCAAGCGGCTTTCACAATCACTTCCTGTTTGCTTCATTTATTCTTTCATGCAGAATCAGCCTGTTGGAGAGACAGTGACAACAGAAGAAGGAGACGTCCACTATGGAGAGATTAACTTCTCGAGGCTCAGATCTGGACCGTCCTCGGTCTCGGAGCAGGACGGTGGACAGCAGGAGGACATGCTGTATGCGCAGGTCAAAGTGTCCAAGGCAGCAGACAACGTCACACGGACTGCTGGCGTCCAAGAGGATCTCTACGCTCAAGTGAAGAGAAAATGAGCCGTTTCTTGTCACTTTTGGGTTTTATTGTTAATATGCTTTTTACATAAATAACAAGCTTCATCTGTCAGTTTATGGAGAAAAAGAATTGTAAGAAAATGTAATCTTCACTGCTCACAGTTAATTAAAGGGGAACTTCAAACCTCCACATCCTGCAGCACCCTGCAATTTTATACATTGACATATTGAGGTATTCACGATTAGTATAAATAATAGTCCCACTGCTCTAAATAGAGTAAGTAAGTATAAGTATTCTCAAAGAAAGCCCTGTTAATATATCAGCTTATGGTTTTTTCTTTGTTGCATATTTTAAAAGGTGTCTTCAAAACTCATTTAGTTATCTTTTGGATTAATGTTTTATTGTTCTATTTTGTCTTCTTCAAAAGACAATTTACTGAATTTCAAGATATGTATTAATTGCAACGTAATAAAAAACATACGACTTAATCTCTGTTGCATTTATTGGTCCATAATTTCAAATATTGTGTGCAAACATCTTCTTAAAATCATACAGCTTAAATCACAAACATTACACAAGTGTCAGAATGATTTTTGCACAACAATTCCCACTTGATGGTCTTTTTATTAATTTATTTGAATGCAAAGCTTAACGAGAAATAGAAAGGGCCTTTCCTGAGACTCAGTCAATTGTATAATAAAAGATCTGGTGCTAAAATACACTTTAAAAAAAGGTTAAAACTGTGTGACTTTTCTCAAAAGATCATCTTTGGGTTTCAGCATGAAAACATTAGCAGCCCAACAGTTGGGTTGTTTAACGTCTCAAAAGGCACAACAAAGTTGTGTTTATTGTGTTTTAGTGACATTAGCTTCTTTATGTTCAACGTCTGAGAAATCTGACCTTCATGTTGGGACAAACCTCCCTCCTCCCACCGGCATCCATTAGTGGAAAGTCACATCCAAAGTTGCTGCAATGTAGACTTTTTATCTCTGACATTTCTATTCCGACAGATTTCCCTTCATAAAAGAGAAAGATGAGAGTCACTGGTTGTGATTATTTTACACACACAAAGTGAACGATTACTGGCCTGGCTATTGTTTTTATTTTATTTAAATGGAGCTTTTCATTTATCAGATCATTGAAATTCAAACAATTAAAATACTGACACAAACCATCTTTGATGAGCAGCGAGTACTAGAACTCTCTAAAACCTGCATTTCAGTTCACAAACTTCTTGTAAAAACCAAATAGGGGTCAGATGTTTCTAAGCCAAATCCCAACCTGGTCCTCAGGACTCAGGGTTCATGTTTACATGAGTAAAACCAATAAGTGTGATTAGGGATCTAAGCTGTGTGTGTGTGTGTGTGTGTGTGTAAACCCAACCAGTGACTTCTGAGTGCACCTTAACTATCTGCATCCTGAGTCTTCAGCGACCACCGGCCTGTTTCCGGTTTAACTTCCTGTCTGTGGGCTTCTACTTGTGCACTCGCTCCTCCAGCGCCTTAAGCTCCGCCTCCACCTGAGCAGGTAGATCGGCTCCAACTTGCTGGGAGAAGTAGGCTCTCAACTCCTTCGTCTCCTTCTGCCAGAAAGACCTGGGCACGTCGAACAGGGCCCCCATATCCACATCGCTGCCCAGACCTTTGGTGACGATGGCGCCATCCTCTGGCAGCCAGCCGATGATGCTCCTCTTGGCCGCCTCCTCCTCCCTCTACCGGCGCTTGAAGATCCACTCCAGGGCGCGCGCGTTCTCGCCAAACCCGGGCCACAGGAAGGCGCCGTTCGCCGGGTTCTTCCTGAACCAGTTTACGTGGAAGATCTTGGGCAGGTGAGTGGGGGCCTTTCGGGTCTGCATGCTCAGTCAGTGAGCGAGGTAGTCGCCGAAGTTGTAACCGAAGAACGGCCGCATGGCGAAGGGGTCGTGCATGATCACCTTGCCTGGAGAATGAAGAAGGGGCTTTAGCAGTAGAAGGTCAGGTGATGCTCAGCAGCCGCCGTGGCTTCAGACCTCATAGAAGCTCCAATAAAGACTTTGCGTTGCCAATAGAAAGACTCCAGAGGGACTCCTACAAATCAATCATTGAACACATTTGATGCACGTTTAATTCAAGCAGAAAAGCACGCCTATAGCGTTTGAAACTATAACATGTGTGTGTCAGAACCGAGCGGGACTCAGACGCAGAGCAGGTGTATAGGATGACAGTTTATTCATAGTACAGAGTACTAATAGATCCAAAAAGAAGGTCACTCCAAAAGGAGGAAAACAAAGCTACTTATCTAAACCTAACTGAGACCTGACGCTGGAACAAAAAAGAGCTACAAAGAAAAATCACTCGAACGAGGTAAAACTGTGGTCACGAGACTAGAGAAACTATGACTATGGATCTTGGACACTGGCTGGTATGACGACGTAGGACGACACACTGGCACAAGACAAAGGGAGACGCAGACTATATGAACACATGGGGAAGCGGGAACAGGTGGACACAATCAGGAATCAGGAAGACAATCAGTCTGGTGACACATCAGGAAGAGCAAGGAACCTGAAACGGGAGTTAATTTCCAAAATAAAACAGGAAGTCACGAAAACAAACGTGGAGACACTTGACATACAGGTGTGATAGTGTGATCAGGACCAGTGGTAAAATCATAGTTTGTGTGGTTAAATAGCAGAATAATTTCTCTATTATGAATCAAACATATTGTATATTTTCAGTGATTCTTAACCATAGGGTACAAATTGAAGAGACCGGAGATATTGACGTTATTTATCCATGAGACGCTCTTTTGCTTCCCACCACTTGGTGGCTGTAACGCGTCCGTCAGTTGTTTAAACAGCTCCAATAAGCAGAAAAAAGACCGACAGCCGCAAGCTGGTCTGTAAGTGAAAGTCATTAGAAATTTAAAATAAAAAATGAAGAGGAAGGTGGTGCCCAACAATACAATCCTGACATCATTAAGTACGGATGTATAAACGGAGGTAATAAGGAGGTGTATAAGGAGAGAGCCCAGTGTGGAGTTTGGACCAACAACGAAGCACCGAAGCCGTCGAAATGAAAGCGGCATATGGAAACTGTAGCATCCCTTCAACTTGGAATAAACAGGCTTGGGAGTGTTTCCAGACGGGTGTACTTTAATTCAGATGAGTGTGCATAGCACCAACACAAACACCATGAAAACTAAAAAGGGAAATAACAAAGGCAATTTAGCCAGATACAAAATAATCCTTTGACAAATGCACTTTAGCATACATGGATAACAGCATAGCAGGCAACAGTCATTATATGAAATGAATTTACATGAAATACAATTACAGTGAACCACATACCTCGCTCCGCATATCAAAGGGTGCTATAAAGTGGTAATCCAGGGAAGTCCGCCGCCATTAGCTTAATGTATTAAGTTGCTAGCTAGCTTCTCGTGTCTTCTATTAAACAGATGTGAGCATGAGCGCGAGCGATTAATCACGTGAGCAGATAACATGATGTCAAAATAAAAGTCACATAAAATCTAAGTAGGAAACAGGATCATCAAAATAAAAGAAAACTGCTAGTGGTCATTTACAGAAACCAAACAGACGGCGGATTTTTTTAAAAGAAAGGAAAATGGGCTACAGATGCAGAAAAGGTCGGTCATCCGACTGACTCGCAACTCTGAATCCGACCTGAAAGCCAGTCACCTCGTAGCCAGACGTGTGGCACAAGAAACCTTCCACCACAGCAGAGGAGTCGGTTCTACACGCCGCTGCGGATGTGCGCGTGAAGAAGATATGAAGAGCAACTGGCTCTGTGATGTCAAAATATTGACTGCTGAAGCATTATTCAAATGAATTTGATTATAAGCTTATGAGGCTACATGTTGATTTGCACTTTGCACTAAAAAACTAAGCCAAAACCGAAAGAAATGAGAAAATAATTACATTTACGCAAAAACTATACTAGTAAAACACAGACAAACGGCTTAACCAAAGCTTAACGAAATCACAAATAAGCAAAATAATTAATAAGTATGGCCTGTCTCTTGTACACAGTTAAAATATGTCTTGACCCAGTTAGGAGGCCCACAGCAAAACACGCAAAAAATAGCAATGTGGGGAGGCCAAAAAAAAGCAGACCCCAAACCAGGGTGAACTTGGCCAAAGCAGACCCCAAACAGGGTGACAAAAAGAAACCGACTCAACCCCAATATTGCGAAGAAAATTGTGTTTCTCAATAAAAATCAATAGTTTCATGCCCCATCTCATGTGTCCACAAGCACCACAATATCCTGTCATAACAAACCTGTCCAAAAGCACAATCACTGCCCCACTGACCTTTCCTCTGTAAATCACTTCCCACATTCCAACAATTCACATAAGTCCCTATGACTGCTATGAACTGCACATGCAGTAGGAAGCACTGGTATTTTAAATTGTATTGCTTATGTAGCAGTAGGAGTAGACTCCTAATCACCGGATGCCCGCGGGACCAATCAGAGCGCAGGGACCGGTATAAACAAACCACAGTAGTCTCCTCCCTCCTATCGCCCTCTTGGCCAGGTGACGGAACTGTGTCCAGTCTTCCGCGTCATTCACCCTGCATAGTTGTTCGGCGCTGCTACAGGTAAGGTGGTGAGCTGGCTGTCTCCGCGCACTTTATTTCGCTACTGCCGTCAGCTGCCTTTTATATATATGTGATCCCCATAGATCCCCGGCTGTCGGAGCCGCGTAGCTACCTAACCTAGAGCGACCGCCACGAAGCTTGCCGAGCGGCGTGATTGCCCGAACTGTCTCTTTCACGGCGACGTCAGTGACTTGTTCAATTGGGACTGGGCGGTCGTACCGGAGGATCTTGGCCACCGTTACCAGTCCAACTAGCTGCTGGTTTTGCCTATACGCCTTCTTCCTCGGTTTGCGTACATGTGTTTTTTTGGACTGCGTTGCCTCAATTGTTTTGGGCCGGACCGCCTACACCGTTGTGCTCGGACAGCTTTACCCGGATGAACAATTTTAGCGTGACGTTCGATCTTCCCCTTCCCCGTGACTTATTGGGTCGACGGAGTCATCTTTTTTTCTTTATTGTTTAGTTTGTTCTGTATTTTTGTTTCTTTATAACCGGGTGAGTGACCCCGGTTGTATGTACGCGTGTTTAATGTTTTGTTGTTTGTTTATTCTTTTTTAGAGCTGAACGCCGAAGGTGGTGGTGTGGTGTCCCGGTGGTGGTATCCCTTCGCTCGTTTGCTGTGGTCTTTCGTTTTCATTTGTTTTGCTGTGCTCACTATTTTGTTTTTGTGTTCACGGGTGTCTTCTTTTGAAACCTCCCCCGCTGCCCTCGTGTCCCCTCCACAACCACTGGTAAGCCTCAGCGTTCGTTATTTTGTTTATTATTTTGACCATTATTACCCCCATTAATTCCCCTTTTGTTGTGGAGATTGTGAGCGTGTTTTAAATTGTTTTATGGATCCTCGTATTTTATTGTAATAAACTTATAACCCCTTTTTGTACATTGAACCACGTCTTTGGCATCTTTTGTGATACTTACCTGCGTGACCTTATTAGTTAGTATTCCCCGGGTGAAATTCCCAGGGTGGCGTTGCTGGTCCCTGTTCTGCCACAAGGTGGCACTGTAGTTAAATCTCTATAAATTGGCGCGATTATGTAATCTCGTGTTGCCACACTTACATACATACACAGAAGATAATCATCAAAATATACTGGTAGGCTATTTGATACATATGCACTATAGGTTTTCAACAGCAGAGGTCATCATAGTTTGCGATGCACTGAATCAATGAACCTTTTTCCGATACAATTGGCTGGAAAGCTTCACTTTGCTATCACTACAAAGCAGACCCCAAACAGGGTGAATTTAGCCAAATCAAAACAGGGTGAATTTAGCCAAAGGCAAAGCAGCAGTGGTCTCTGGCAGGTTGGCTGGTGTAGTGCTGCTGCTCAATGATCTTTTGCCCGGTCAGGCCGCTTCGGACAATCAGCGTGGGTTAGAGGGATCAACGATACCACGAGAGTTACCAGCGGTGGACATTGAGTGCATCAGGTGGAGAATAGTATGCAGCCATACCAGTGAGCTTCTGGGACACAAAAAACACTTAAATGAGCACTGGACGGACCACCTGGAAGCGAATACAGCTGCTGCCGACACCCTACCTCTGCCTAACACTCTTAAGACACTGCTCACAATCCTTTGATAAAATCCAGCTGTGTGCGTCTACTCAGTGCTGCTCCAGCTGCTGAATGCCTCTCCTCCTTCTTTTTTTGGTTCACGGGTTAAGGTTTTTAGTTGGCATCCATCTTATTGGTGCATTATCGCCACCTTCTGCCCCGGAGTGTGAATCAGACACTTTCTTTCTCCCAACATGCCCCTCCCTCCCCAAAAATAAAATAAGAAAAATAAATAAGGAAATAAAAGAAATAAAAATAAACACATCTATCCACACACACACACACACACACACACAAATCAGCTCACCTGGTCCACAGGTGCATGCAGATTATTGATGAACACCACTTTCTCACTCAAAGTAAAAAATAACACACAACATCTACACTTTGTAGAAGCAAGAGCATCATTTTAACAAGATGGACCTTAAAGAATAATTAATTAATGCGTAAATAGGAAAGAGCACATCCTCCTGTAAGCCTGGAGAGAATATGGTTTCATATTTGATGTAATCTTACAGAACAGTTCATGTCATAACTGTTGTTTCTAAAATGACAAAACAAGACAATTATTGAAATAAATTTGAATGCACAAGAGCAGGAGTCCAGTTAATAATGCATCAATATTTATCCTCAGGACGACATTTTTTTCAGTACAAGACGACCAAAATGAAAAGTATCTGCTTCTCACCGTGGCAGTTCCTTGTTTGTCATGTTTCCACATGTTTAGTGGGTGTTGTGACTCTGAGTGAGGTGAGAAACCGTTATTTCGCTTTGTGGCTCTAACAGATGAATAAGGAGAAGTGGGGAGTATCTAACACCCAATAAATTCTGAGAACTTAAGAACAGGGGAAGTTGTTTAGTCAGACAGTGCAGTACTCTCACTTGTGAAGTACAACTTTCTGCAATAAAATTCATTAGGAAATGCCATTTTCAACTCAAAGAATATGTTATGTGTACGAGGGATGAGACAATGTAGGATTGCATAAGATATTCCATTAAAGAATAAATAAGTAATATCATGTACAAAGGCGCAGACTCACGCAAAATGTTTTTTTAAGTTCACTAAAACCGATAATGGGCGGCACGGTGGTGTGGTGATTAGCACTGTCGCCTCACAGCAAGAAGGTTGTGGGTTCAACTCTACCCAGTGGCCTTTCTGTGTGGAGTCTGCGTGGGTTCCCTCAAGGGGCTCGGGTTTCTTGGCAAAGCCCCCCCCCCCCCCTGCAACGCTGTGTGACAGATAAGTGCTTTGAAGAGGGAGGGATGGACTAAAACAGTTGCCACATTGGTATGGAACGCCCAAATGTTATGGGAGGCTCTCCGCTCGCAGCCTTTTTCTTAAGCAGAATGCACCCCCCCCCCCCACTAGCAAAGGCCTGTCGCCGTTCCTGGAAGTCCTGCAGCTTGCTGGACATTATGCATTATGCTGAGCATGAGGAAGATGTTCAAAATGGTCAGGACGCACTAAGAAGGACAAGGAAACAGGAGAGACTGGACGACGGCCAGCTGACCATATACAACGCAATGGCAAACGGGGCGCGGGGACGGAGGCAAGGACGAGGCAGAGACATGTTCCAAAACAGCGCAATTGTCCCACGTGATGATTTGAGGTTTCTAGTCCACATACCATTTTGTCCAGTAGTTGATTTGGCGAATGCATTTTTCTCCATGCCCGTCCATCCTGAGTGTGAATGTTGGTTGGCATTCACCTTCCAGGGGCGTAGCTACACCTGAGCAAGATGTGCACAAGGATACTCATGTCAAACTTTCATCTGCAGCTGAGCCTAAATTTACAAAACTAACTTCCTATCAGGTTAGATGACGACATGTGGATGACCTCATGGTGGCTAGGCCTTCAGAAGAAGCATGCAAAACAAGACACAGTTGCACTTTTGACCTTTCTGGCTAACAATGGTCACAAAGCCAGCTCTAAACTTCAACTTGTCCAGACAAAAATAACGTATCTGGGACATCTGATCACAGCAGCGGGATATTCCCTCTCCAAAACGCCAAAAACAAAGAAACAAGTGTTTCCTAGGAATGATGATATACTGCAGACAGTGGATCCTTAACTATTTAGAACTGTCCATGGCAAACAATTGACGGCTCAATGCAAAATAACCTGGACCCCAGAAGCAACGAAGGCCTTTGTAGAATTGAACCGTAGTATTGAGAATACTCTTGGCTTACCAAATCCAAACAAGCCATTGGTCCAATTTGTCGACCAAAGGGGTGGATACGCGACCTCTGTCCTGTGTCAGAAACATGGGGATAAACGCATACCTGTTGCTTGTTTTTCTTCTACAAAACTGGATCCAGTAGCAGCAGGCCTGCCCCTCTGCCTCAGAGCTGTAGCAGCTGCAGAGAAGGCAGTTACAGCCTCTAGAGGTTTAGTAGGATATTCCGACCTCATGGTTCCGCATGCTTTAGCTCACATTCTACACACACAAAAGACATCTCACTTGTCAGCGCAGCGGTGGTTGAGATGTCACACCACATTGTTGAAAATGCCCAACGTCACAGTAAAACGCTGTTCCAGTCTAAATCCTGCTTCTCTTCTCCCGACACAGAAAGATGGCGATAACACAGAAACTTTTCATGACTGTGTGCAGATTCTGGGTGAGGAGTGTTTGCCAAGGGTTGATCTCTCAGACACACCTCTCCCAAACGCTGACCTTGAGTTGTTTGTGAATGGTTCTGCATCAAGAAATAAGACGGGCAACAATCAAACAGGTTTTGCTGTTGTCACCCAACATGCTATTGTAGGATCACCATCTAATTTTTCAGCACAAGCTGCAGAGTTAATACCCCTCACGAGGCATTTAAACACGCCGAGGGCAGAACAACCAACATCTATACAAACTCTCGTTATGCGTTTGGAGTGGTCCATGACTTTGGTGCCATTTGGCGACTCAGAGGTTTCCTCACCTCCTCTGGAAACCTGTAGCTAATCATCACCTTATTTCAGATCTTTTGAATGCTATAATGTTGCCAGGAAGGTGATGAAATGTGATGCTCATCTCAGTAGGTCCCCACCATCCAACCACTAGTTACTTCTGCACAGAAGGCGCTGTGGGCAAAAGCTGGAGCCACATTTTTGAAAAAAAATGTGGTTTGCCTGATTCAAAGCAGTGTTTCCCACAGGCTGCCTTTCCATTTCATGCTAAGCTAGCACATGGAACAGACCCGTGGGTAAGGGAGTGTTAGGGGGTGTAGTTGGTGGACCCAAATGCACACGCACAGCAGTTTGATTTGTAGCCAATGATTTTATTTCCCATACAACCTGGGAAGTGAACAACTTCTCCACCAATGTCTTGCGGCCTGGGGGGATAGGGCAGGATTCCAGTGTGGATACCGGAGGTCCGACATCATAACCAGAGTTGGATTTAAACGAGTCACGTGTACTCCGTGGTACTCCGCGGCCAGCAAGTAGCGTGCTAAGCTACAATCAAACACATCGGAGGAACCGAACTACAAAGGTCACACACAGAGGCCAGACAGAAGGATTGATGACGTGTTATCTTAAATTTTGATGACGTGATATCACTGATGTG